ATGCTTTCGAATATATAATGCACGTGATTTCACAGTGGAAAAGATTTACTGCGATGGGGAGTTCCGTCCGGTATTTGAACCCGTGAAAGACGAACTTGAAGTTCATATGAATTACGCCAGCAGAGGCAAACATGATCTGAAAGCGGAACAAAACAATCAGCATTTAAAAGCACTGTTTCAGGTTCACTTTCACCGAATGCCATTCAAGGCGATTCCAAAGAAGTTAACTGTGGCACTTATGACACGAGTTGTGTTTTAGCCAACACATAGGTATAAAAGTTTTGCCATGATGTGGTGGAATAGTTCGGCCCTCTTGCTGTCCAACAATACCGGCTCATCCTTGACTTGGAACAGATGATTGGCTGCCGGTGAAGTAGCCAGTCCTTTCATATCCTCTGGTGCTTCTTCGAGTAATCTGTTGATGTAATCATCCATGGAAAACTTTACCTTTCCTTTTTTGCTGAAAGCGATCGTGACCCCAAGGTATTTGTGCACGTGACCTCTTTGGATTTTGAGGGGTGCCTCCTTTCCGTACCTTTCACTCAGTCTAGATGCAATATCCTCAAGGACTTCTTGCTCCATGTGGGAAACCTTCAAGTCATCGACATGCCAGATGATGGTGCATTATTTTCCATTGATCATCTTGTTGACAACGCAGCTGTCATACGGGTTGGCCTCATACCCCAATTCGTCCACCAGGAACCCAGAAAGGTTCTTCCACCAGCACAACGCTCCTTGCAAGGTCCTGTAGAGGTTCTTGTTCAGCTGTGCATAGATGATCGGTTTCTTTCCTTCATATACAACATATTTGGTGTAAAGGGCTGGGTCAACTTTTGTTAGTAGTTTGGCTATCTCCCCTTCAAACTTGACGTGGATAATCTTGTCTGTATCAGCCTGCATGAATGCTCCAGGAATGTCAATTGTCACAACCTTGCGGCCTTCTTTGGCATCAATTGCGCATGTGATCACAAAGGACTTGATGCGTACAGTCGGCGCGGATGTCTCTTCCTTTGTTTTGTGGAGACGTTGGCGGCGCCCGTTGGTGCATTCCCGGGCCTTGACCTTTCCACATCTCTTTTCCTTCAGGAACATTAGGTATCTCAAGGCGTTCCTCCTTTGTTCCGGTGTCAGTTGGTTCCTGTACTTGGGCGATAGCACATTCCTGTAGTGTATCTGATGCATCTTTGCTACGATGGCCTCTGCTCCTGATTCTCCAAACACTTTCAATCCTTTCTTTGCTGACATTTGCTCTGTCAGAAAAGCCACTTCATGATGGAACAAGGTTACCATCTCTGTGTATTCCGGTACAAGTTCGTCCCTGTGTGGAACCTGGATGAGGACCTGGTGATCTCCATGAGTTGTTGGGTATTTTCTGGGACGAAGGTTCCTTCCATGTCCTCTTTCACCATACGCTCTATCCATGTCATCATTGATTTGTTGTTGGTTCTGATTTTGGGTCAAGTTCTGAAGTTCTTGTACTTCCTGTTGCACCTCTTGTTGGATCTCTTCCATCAATTCATCCAGTTGTGTGTCCGCGGCAGCTTGCTCTTGGGCGTCATCATCTTCCAAACTGTAGTCACTGTCATCACTGGTTGTGGAACCGTCATCTTGGTGGTCCATTTGTGTGCTTATGCTGCCCCCTCCTGTATTTCTGGCGTCCACTCCTGAATAATAACTGAAACATTAATCGATTAAATGATAGGTAGCGCATACGATTGCCGGTGGAATGGTCGGCTGTAAAGGTCAAGTACTGTGGAGCGGCGAGTCAACAACAAGTTTGAACCATGTGAGGCGTCTGGTAATCAGAAGTTGCTCTAGTCAGAACCAGATGGTTCGGACTCTACCCGCAGCGTGGCGGGGTGATTTTGGGGCGTTGCTTCCACAAAACGTTGTTCAAGGGGAGTGGTCCACAGGGTGGAAGAAGTGATGAAGAATACGGCGTTGGGGCGCCAAAGCGCGGCGGTAGGCCGTGCGTTCCATCCGCACCAGCTTCAACCACTCCTAACGATCTACCAGTGGTTTGTTCAAGACTGTCCTGGCGTCCACTCCTGTGTTTCCCCTGCCCACTCCTGTATTTCTGGCGTCCACTCCTGTGTTTCTGGCATTCACTCCTGTGTTTTCATCAGGGAACTGTGGTTGGTGTTGTTGCAGCTGATGTTCATTCACTCCTGCGGGCAGGACCCCGGCGTTGTCGGGAGGCTGGTCGTTATCTGGATCATCATTGTCAGAATCATTGCTGTGAGTACTATCATTTTCATCGGCGTCATCTACGGAATTGTTGCCGCTGTAGGCGCTGGCATCATCGTCCACAGGTATTTGTGGAGGTGGCAGGGTGACATTGCTAGCATCACTGTCATAGCTAATGTCATCGTCATCTGTGTGAGTGTGGGTGGTGGATGCATTGGAAGAGCTGTACAAGGAGTCGTGGTCGTCGTCCACGTCGTCATTGTTGTTGAAACGCTCCATTCCGTGCCGGTCTGCAAATGTCAGTGTTGTGGGCATGCCCTGTTGTAGTCCACGGTTGCTGACAGCCTCAATGGCATCAGTAGGCATGGGTAGTGGTGTCCAGTGTTGCCTTGTGATGCGCTTGCCGGTTGCAACGCTCATGAAATAGTGTGAGCCTTGTGCTGCACCAGTGGGCCCAAGGCATATGGCGCCCAGCGTGCGTACATGCATATCATTGGAATGTTCCTCATGAGTTTGGACGTATGCGCCAAATTTGGTGCGGACATGGAGTTTCATGTTTATATTTCTTCCGGTTACAATGTATTTAGGCAAAAGCATGTCAGAAACCCCATCCAATGCTGGGAAAGCATTGAGCCAGAACACTGCATTTTGAATCATGTGTTCCAGCATCAGTTTGGAAATGCGTCAAAATGGCAGCATGCTATACGTGCTGTGCACCCTGTCCAGCACGTGCTCATCTGCACCACAGCAGTCCACCTGGAGGATGTCGGGGAATTGTTGTTTTAGAGGCTCGAACTCTGGGTCCCCAAGAATGCATTTGACTTTGAAGTTGCGTCAGGAGTACAGTTCAAATACTTTGCGCATGCTATCGGTGATGGTTTGTTGGTGAGGCGCTCCACAGTACCGAATTTCAGGTGCCTGGAAATGCTGACCAGGAACGGGACTTTGTTTACAAATAATATGTCAATTGTCAATGTGATATCTGAATAGAGTTGCTGGATGTGGTCTGGAATCGGTCCCGCCTTGGTCCTTATGTGGCTGTCATTGCGGGAAGTGGTTTTTCCTTTTAGCAATCCGATATTAGGTCCATAAATGTTGTGGGCCACTCTGATGTCTTCTGCTGTCACAGGACAGTCACGGAGCAGATTTTTGTTGACGATATCAGTGAATCTTCTATCTCCTGGTCGGCCGATGATGTTTTGAATGTGTCAAGCCTGCGCCGCTTGCATTACAGCCGTTTTGGTGTGCTTGGCTTTCTGCTCTTTCACGGTTTCCAGGAACGTCCATGACGTCTTGCAGTAGTCATTGAGGTCAATGTGATACAATCCCTTGTCGGTTGGGAGAAATTCGACTTTCTTGGTGCCGCCAAAGTCCACCACAAACCGGTCTGCTCCCCTGTTGTCCTACACAACATGGTAGTGCTTGTTGACATCATTGAATGATAGGATGTTGGCGATCCCATCGGGGTTGAACCATACTGGATCCGGATAATCCCCAAAATATCCCTTCATGTTCAATTGTACCACTCCTGCATTGCATCGGACCTTCAGTCCATGTTTGACCTTGTAAATGTTTTGTAGTAGTGATCAATTGCAAAAGATGTTTGCTGTAGACCCAGTGTCCAGAACGATCCATGTTACAGGTAGGCCTGATTGCGGGTGGCGCTTCAGAATGAGTTTCACATACGACTTGTTGTTGGAATGGAGGAAGAGGTGCTCAGTGGTGGAAACGTCTTCATCGACTGCTATGGAGTCAGTATTGACTGGGTTGGTTGAAGCGCTAGGTTCCTCAGTGGCCAAATACTCGTCAACTTCATCGTTATTGCTATTGTTGGATGTGTCAGTGATGTGAGTTTCGTGTTGTTCGTGGTTTCTGTTCGGATGTCGCTCAAAATCTTGCCCGCGACCACCGCGCCCGCTGCTTCCACGCCCGCCGTTCCGACCGCCGGCCCATCACGTAAAAAACGTAGTAGCGCGCCTGCCAGGACATTCCTTTGCGAGCTGGTCAAGCCTCCTTCAAATCGAACGGGTCGTGTTGGACACATGGTGGTGCCACCCGCAATGATCGGTGTATCCACGAACACTCCAACATTTAACCGCGAATTGAAAAATTCGCTGCTATTTAACCGCGAATTGAGAAATTCGCGGCAATTTAACCGCGAATTGCCTTCATTCGCCGTTGTGATAACCGCGAATTGAAAATGCGCCGTTGCGTTAACCGCAAATTGATATATTCTAAAAATTCAGCAACAAAACCAAACAAATCCATCAATGGTGTTTGTGGAGCCTGAGACGCCCTGGAAGACCAGCAGGGCGAAACAAATCATCCAGGAACTACTGGGGATCTGTCGCGCGATAGAGAAGCCTTAGGTGATGAAGGAAACAAGTAGACGATGAAGGGAACAACATGATTCTAAAAGTCAACTTGAAAGTGATTTGCGAAATGGGCGAGGAGTCTACCAGGTACGAAGGGAGATCGGAAAAGTGGGATCCCAAGAAGCTTGCTACCAGGGATATCCCGCAGTTTTCTGTGAAGCCAGCTTTTTTCTTTTTTTGGAGAGTCGATGTGGTCATTTTCACCCTCTTCTGCACGAAACTTCAAAAATCGACTTTCACTTATTGCCTGCCAGAAAGAAACTTCTACGACAAGGAATTTTATAAATGTTCACAATGCCGTTAAGTATTCAACTTCATTCGCCAGATAAAATTTTAAAGTTTGTTTTATTTTTACAGCAATTGCGGAACATCTGTAATGACCCCAAAAAAACCTGTAAATTTTTCACAGAAGTTTCGGAACATCTGTGAAAAATTCACAGAGATTTCGGAACATCTGTGAAAAATTCACAGAATTTTTGACCCAGACGACCAAGCATTGCTTGCGCACACCATTAACCGTTTTTTCCTCTACCGAAATTGTATGGTGCTTTTACGAAAGGGCATGCGTGCACGCATGTCAGCTGAACCTCTGTTGAAACTTCACGGCAATTTCGGAACATCTGTGAAGACCCTTAAAAAACCTGTGAAAAATTCACAGAGATTTCGGAACATCTGTTGGTCATTCACAGAGATTTCGGAACATCTGTGAAAAATTCACAGAAAATTTAACGAACTACGACCAAAACGCGACGATCACCGACCAAGAATGAATTCCACGAGCAGTGATGATGTCGGATCACAGATCCCCGTGCAGAAGGAGTGAGCAAGCCGGTCAGGCCCCGATTCCAGTTCAGATTCACACCAAAATGCGGAATATCCCAGACGATAGAAAATTTACAGACTTTTTGACTCAGACGACCGTGGAAAAAAGTCTACGACTAGTTTTACATAGTGAAGCCATAAATGTTATATTCCTGGCTGAACCCACCATTCGCCACAATTTCGACATTTCGGAACATCTGTGAAGACCCTTAAAAAACCTGTGAAAAATTCACAGAAGTTTCGGAACATCTGTGAAAAATTCACAGAATTTTTGACCCAGACGACCAAGCATTGCTTGCGAACAACATTAACCGTTTTTTCCTCTACGGAAGTTGTGTGGTGCTTTTACGAAAGGGCATGCGTGCACGCATGTCAGCTGAACCTCTGTTGAAACTTCACGGCAATTTCGGAACATCTGTGAAGACCCTTAAAAAACCTGTGAAAAATTCACAGAGATTTCGGAACATCTGTTGGTCATTCACAGAGATTTCGGAACATCTGTGAAAAATTCACAGAATTTTTGACTCAGAGGACAAAAAGAATAGTCAATTAGGGGAACTATCTGTAATTTAACGAACTACGACCAAAACGCGACGATCACCGACCAAGAATGAATTCCACGAGCAGTGATGATGTCGGATCACAGATCCCCGTGCAGAAGGAGTGAGCAAGCCGGTCAGGCCCCGATTCCAGTTCAGATTCACACCAAAATGCGGAATATCCCAGGCTCAGAAGTTACAAAAGGCGAACAATATCTTGGAGCATAAGATGGGACGAAAAATCAGCAGGGCAAAATTCTATGGGATCTCTTGCGCACCGCTCCTGGAGTCGCCCATTCCACTCGATGGGGGAACAAAAGAAGGTGTGTGACATGAGCGGCGAAAAAAATAGGAAGTCGAACAATGTGGTTCCATATATTTTGCTGATAGACTGAGAGCGCTGCAGAAGCAAGAAAACCAGAAGATCAGCAGAGTCGTCGAGGACCACTAGGCTCATGTCAAACAGTTCGTCGACAACCATCCAATAACATCCTTTCAAAGCTACTACAAAAAAATATCCATTGACAACGATCGGATGCCCCGAAGCTTCTGCGTCAAGCCATGGACGAGAATGGAAAAGATAAGCCTCCTGTAAGATAAGAAGATCTATGCCGTTCTTAACGAAAACAGTATTGCAAGGAGTTTTCTTTGAATGTTTTCAGGGAATGCAACTACCAGGAGATTAGAACAGGAAAGTACTTGCACGCTCTCAAAGTCAAGGGGAAGAATCATAGATCTATAACGTAGTAATGATGCTATAGAAGATTATTTACTACACTTGCATTTTCACTATTGGAACAGCTGCTTTTCCTCTCTCTAGAGGCTCTCAAGAGGACAGCTTTCCCAATCCAAACATAGGGAGAAACCCAGTGATTGAGGAACAAACCATTCTATTGCATGGTATCGTTGTATTGAAGAAGAAATGAGAGTGATTCTACATCACGCAATTCGCGGTTGAATTAACCGCGAATTTAGAATTCGCTACTAAATAACCGCGAATTGAAAAATTCGCTGTTAAATTTACCGCGATTTTTGAATTCGCTGTTAAATTTACCGCGAATTTTTCAACTCGCGGTTAATTAACCGCGAATTATAGTTGAAAGAACTTCTTCATCCGTAACGCCCGCTTCGCGCGGGCGGTTCGGTTTCATGATCTGGTTGCCTCCGTGAGACATACTGGCTGGCGATCGAAGAAGTATTCGGCTGGCGCGTACTGACATTTTTACGTGATGGGCCCGCCGCTTCTTCTGTTGGGACCGCCGCCGCGACCGCCCGCCCCGCTCTCAGTGGATGGTTGGCCATCGGCAAGGAATGACACACCAATTTCCGAGCTGCGGATGCTTGAATGATACGAGGTAACAAGTGGCCTGCTGTTGTTGAGCAATTCGATAGCTCCTGACATGGTGGTGGGAAACGTGTCGCTTCCGCTGAACAGTCTTGCATTGTTGGCCTGGGCAATAAGGCCCCCATACCGCTTTCTGTTGGCTCCGAGGAGAAAAGCCATTGCCATCTCCTTCTCCACAATCTTCTCTTCTACCGCTCTCAGTTCAGCCATTGTTGGGTCCGATTTGCCGGTCTCTTGGATGAGCCTGGATAAAGAGGCTCCCATGGGGCAGTCGCAGAATCTGGCCGTATTGGAAAGCTGCATGAAGACTTGGAGGTATTCTGCATTGGTCTGGTTTTCCTCCTTTTGCTTGCAGGTGTAAGCCTTTCTTTGAGCTTCGACACCCATCATGGTTGGATCAACGTTGGTGGATCCGCCTGTGGCCGCCACGATCTGGAAGACCTTGAGCATGTCCATTGAGCTGTTGTTCGCGATGACAGTGCTCCACTTTGGATGGCTCTCAGCAGCGCTCAGGAATACTGCGGAGCAGTGGCGTTTCAACATTGCGCAAAGAGCTGCTTCATTTGCCTTGCGCACAGACTTCTCTGCCTCATAATTTTTGTCCTTCTTTAAGTAATCATGTTCTTCCTGTTTGTTGTTCCAATCCGGAAGGTTTGGTGCAACCAAAGGAGGCAGAGAGAAAGGGTCTTTGGCGGTTGAAGTTGATTCTCCCACCATCAGGTGATCGGAAGCATCCTTTCGGTTTGACACAAAGTAAGCAATGTGGGCCTTCACGACTTGGAGGAATGGGGGCACTGTTGGATCCACGTTTGGGAGCTCATAGTAATATCCCTTGAGCTCTGGTTCCACAGTTGAAGGGGGCTTGGATTGAGATGCAGCTCCAAACTTGGTTTTATTTTTTTGCTTGCCTCGCCGATTCCTGCTCCTTGGTCGGATTTGGTCGGACCCGCTGTGGGCAGGGTCTGGGGGCAACTCGCCTTGGCCGTAAATGCCGATCGACAGCACCTATGAAGTGACTGTCCCGTCTAACTAATAGAACAGATAGATCCGCACCGCAGGTGTGCTGTAAATCACTTTAGTCTTTTAGAATTTTCAGAAAACAATGAGGATTGCAAAACGCTTTGCAATTGCACTGTATTCTGAACATTTGCTTTCTACTTGTTCTAAAGATTCTCGTTGTCGTAAGCTAATACGTCCACGAGTATCAGTCATACTCCGACCAATACATTCCAACCAATATGCTGTGGGACATGTAATTGTAATAAACGTGATTGGCGTTTGTGACTGGTGAGTCACTAATGGCTAATCAGCTTTGCTCCAACGTACAGTGTACAGTAGAATCAAATTACAATATCTGAACCATCTCTTGTCAGACCTGCTCCCAAATTGAAAATTGTATCCTGTCGTTTGTAAGAATCTACAGTATGACTCTTGAAACGCGATTTTTGTTCGTAGTACTCTTTACTACGATTTCGGTATTTCTCCTTGTACATCTTCAGTTCACATGTTCGAATCCAGAAGACTCGAAATTTGATCGCACCCTTGTTATCGATCTCCATCCACAAAGCAAAGTCGTCACAAGTCTGGAAGACCTCTGGGTTGGGGATGTGAGCGAAGCTAAACCACCGGACAGAAAGGTCTGTATCGTGATTAGCTACTGTCAGGGAGACTTGGGTTGGCTGGATGGTTTCATTGCAGGGTATGAAATTCACAAAGTAACCATGGTTTCAAAATGTAGCAATCCAGCTCCCACCGGAAATTGGAGAAAAAAAGCCGAAATTATTGAAGCGCAAAATGTGGGGGGTAATGACAAATCCGTAGCCATGGCTTTGTCCAATATTACGAGTAGTAAAGGAAGCAGTCCCTCCTGTGATGTATACGTTTTCCTTAAAGACAACATTTCAATTCACAGAAAGAAATCTAAGCCTTCATCCCGATGTCTTAATGAAATGCTCCACCTCGCAGAAATGAAAGGATTTTCATGTTTCCAAAAACCTGCAAGAGAATTCTCGCACTTTCATGATACATCTGCATTGAAGTCATTCAAGGTAAAAATGACGATTGGTTTCGGCGGCAACCCATGTCAGAGAATCGAGTTGCAACGTCATATGGCCATTCTCACAACGACCCAAATCTGATGCAAATCGTCTTTACCTGGATGATGATTTAGCTTGCAATTGCCCTTTATTGAATCGAAGAATTCCCCAAATTGGACATGCCACCAGCAAATGTTTGCGCCTAGAATCAATCCCTGGCTCATACCATTCAAGTCATCGCCGAGATCATTCGTTATTTCACTAATGCGCCTAATCGTCCTCCGCCATCTTTGGCCGCCACCCGATTGACATAGCTGCGCTTTCCTATAATCGACCACTGTTCCTCTTCCGACAGTGGGGCTGAAAGCAAGCCTGCCCAAGTGCGCTCAGCAAAGTAGCCCTCTTCGATATTGTCCCCTCTCGACAGACTTTTCGCAATGGCTTCCCATTTTACTTTCGGTATAGACTTTATTTTTGTCTGCTTTGCAGCAAATATCCCCCCGTAGCATACTGGTGTTAGTGGCGACGGCAAGGAGATATCAAGAGACTCTAGCCATTGTCCCAAGTTTTTGAAAGGTGATTTAAATCCTTTGCTGTCATTCCATACTCTTCGTCCATCTGATGTCGAGTGAGGAACGCCTC